ATATAGGTATGTACCACCTTTTTTGTATACTTACCGTCTTGTGAGTAACAGTATAAGCGTAAATATATGTTTTAAGTGTTATAAGACGTTTCTTTTATTTACTTTCCGTAAATTTAATAACACGTACAATGCTGATCAAGAAGTTATTTAGAAAACTACAAGTCACACCCCCATAAACCATATACTTAAAATGTTCGTCATGACGAGAAACCTTGCGCAAAATTATCCATTATTTCATAAATTGCCCTATAAGGTCGTAATTGCTTTCCAAAGGGAAATTTCCATTTACCTAATGTTAAAAATACCTCAGCTGTTATTATTTTTTTTTGCATTACCATTACTGTATTCTGTTTTGTTTATTTCATTTTAACTTAACCAATCAATAGTTTTATTAATACTAATGTAGTAAAACGGGGTGAAGCCCGTGGGTAACAGCTAGTGTTTGTAATTCAGGAACAATGGTCTCCAGTATTGTTTTGGATTTTAATATCTTCCAGAAAACAATATAAAATACATTCCTCTTACTGGTTGGTTGACTTTGAAATTAATATTGTATGCGTTATTTTCCCACATCTATGACGGTTGACGAGTACTTCGGGCGACCGCTATAGTTCTATATTTAGTGACAAAACATTCAAAGGAAAATATTCATATAAAGAAAAGATTAGTTAATTAGTTATTACTGTAGTTTCATATAGTGTAAAAAAACGTTTGTATAGGATATTTTAATGAACTAGATATTTGTTTGCGCAGCTTTATCTGTTGAAATTGTTTTTATAGATCCCTCGAAGTTTACTGCTTTCTTAACTGCTTAGAAACTGTCGAATAACGTTCAAAATGTTTTTAAGATGATTCAATGTAGAAAAATAATTCAGTAATAGATACCTTACTTGAGTACCCAACCAAAACGTTACTGAACTATCAAAACACAATTAGATTAAACAATTACCTCTTACAATGGTTAAACGAAAGAATCAGGTTGAAATATGTGTAGAACTGAAGTAGTGGACATCCTGCAAAATGCTAATCAATGCAAAACTAACTGGGTAGACTAGTGAGTTGACAAACCGAATTGTTATCTATGACTATTCTTCAGACAACATTAAAATAATTTAGGGTAAAGTTGCTGATGATATGCAGAATGATGCTGGGTTATTCATGCAGAAACCAGGACTTCATGGGTCAAAACCTAATTCATTCATGTGCGGCGATATATACAAATTATAAAATAAATAGTGCAAATCCAATAATGATTTCCTTTACTTGCATGATTTATGAAGCAAAGTTTACGAAGTTAGACTTATTCTACAAGATGCAACTTAGTTACTTCAATCACCTATTTATGTACACCCCCCTAACCATCAAGCCGTAACTATCATGGCCTCTTGTATAATCATAAAGTATCACTGGAAATATTTCAAATAGACCTGGTCTCTTATATTAACATCCAAAGTTTTAAAGTGAGTTTCATGTCAAATTAGGTTTGAGTGCACCGATGCCTCAACTTGTGTTTCTTATTGTGTTGGTTGACTATTTGGTAAAAACAGTTTTTACCATTAGTTTTTTTCTTCTTTTTTTCATCTAAATTGGTCATTTTCTGCTAAAAGTGGTAACATTTAGTTTATGTTGTTAACACCGTTTTTTTTTGTTTTTTTTTTAAGAGGTTGGCGGCTTCTTTTAACCTTGCACATAGACTACAGTTCTGTGCGTGGAACGTAGCAAAGCAAGGGGTGAGCCGGTACAGTACAAAGGTGAACTGTACTGAGTTTAAACGCCAAGAAATAATTGGAAAATAAAACATATTTTGATTATTTTTGATTAAACCACCTAAACCTTATCGACACTTGTATTAACAACATCGACATGAGTTTGAGTGAATCAATATTTTATTTAATGCCATTTGACAATGCCTATTCCTATGTACAACCCGGTCAATGGCAATAAACTTTCTTGTTCTTATTCTTATTCTTATCGCAAGCTGCACGATAATTAGTGTATTTTGATCACGTCTTGGTGAAGTAATACACAATTTTCACCGCTTTACAGAAAATATTTTTTCTTCTCGCCATACTCCAGCAAAAACAGCAGTTTTAAATACGAGCCTTGGGGGTATAAAGGAGTCAACTAAATTTGAGGAGATCAACTGTAAATGTTTAGATGTAAAATTTGTTCGCTGATTATACAGGGTGTTTTTTTACGCGCAACCCAAATTAGAAGTAGGGCCTACTATAAGACAAGTTCTAACGAGCCTTATATTTTGGCGCGGTTTTCTTTACTTCATTGCCAATCCTGATATGCGTTGCATAGTTATCTATGAGGTTTAGTGACTCTGGGATTTTTTTGTAACTTGAGTCGCGGCCGGCTCGACGTAAGCGTGCACGCATCGCGATGGTTTCTGTCTATAAAAACGTTGTAAATATAATGTGTTTTTGGGTTGTGTCCAGTAAAACTTTATGCATATAATATAACGAATCTTTCTACGAGGATTGGCCTGATGATGTGATTGTTGTCACGAAACCGGTCGTCGCAAGCATAAAAGGATATTGAACAGGCTAACAAGTTTATTATATTTTATATTTTTTTTGTAAATTATACGCAACATGGTTCAAATCAGTCATCTGTAAATTCACTTAGTCGGCAGGTTTGCTGCAGCGGGGTGTTTTTGTTAACTACACATTCGGTTACCTTAAATTGGAACTATTGTTGAAATTTTATAAATTTAATGAAAACGAATCTGGGTTAAACAAAAATACCCCCGTCGCAGCAAACTTGCAGACTTATCGAACTTCCATATGTCTGATTTGATCTTTGCTTCGACCTAAGTTTTCCTTAAATTTGGATTCGGTTTCCTCAAATTCTTATATGTCAATAACAGGTGATTTAATAGGTACTGAAATCAAATCTAGAAACTTTTTTCAAAACGTTCTTGGTATAAAACCGATGATTTACTTTCAACGTATTATTCTAACTCTTCGAGATTGAGGAAACACAATGATGTGTCTTATTAACGATAGATTCCCATCCACACTAAAGATAACATAGATAAATAAGATTGCATAGATAACTATGCAACAACGCATATAAGCTGATCGGAAATGAAGTAAAGAAAAAAAAGGAATACTATGGTTGTCTTGTCTTTGAAATGTGTCTCACAATACTTTTAATTTGGGTTGCGCGAAAAAAAACACCCTGTACAGAATTGTTTAGTCCCGATTAATAAACATATAAATTTGTTTAGATTGATTGTGTTTATATTTCACACAAAAAATACCAATTCATCGATGTTCAGACAAATTGAAAATTAACAGAATATCAGGAAGGAAACCCTGTGTTGGTATGGCTATAAATATGTAATTTGGATATCGTAAATAGCTGTTCTTATAAAATAGGAGAAGGGAAAAATTAAAGAATTTACAAAATAAACAATGGTAGAAATTTATGTCTTTTTAACTATTTGCCAAAAATAATGGAGCATTATGACAAAAAATAAAGTTTATCAGATAGACAAAAGTATCTTTAAGACCATTGCTCATTTACCGGCCGAAAGCAGTCATTTTAGGTTCTCATCATTCGAATAAACTTTTACCAAGTTCTTGATTCTTCAGTTTCATAGCAAATATGTATCCTTTAAAAGTTAGTAAAAAAACTTGTTTATAAAACTATAGAAAATTTAACAGGTTTTGCTTTCAGCTGTGTTCCCAGAACGGGTTGTCATGTGTTAATTATTAACTAGTGTCCCTGTTGCTCGAATTTGAGCAATTGCTAAGTATTACAGGCGTTATTTTAAAACGAATAACAGTCGTAATTTCTGACGAATTTAAAAGATTCGACTCAAAGATTATGGAAATTCTCGAGATGTACAAAACAGATTGATATAATCAACATTTCTTGTAAATATCTTATCATTTTTCTAAGGCTGATCTTGTTTTTCTATCTACAAATAGCCTTACTCATAGCCGCATTAGGTTTTACACAATAACGATTATAAATTCTAAGAAAAAAAAACAATAAATCAGTAAATGTTTGTTAAAATTGCAGAACTGTTAAATTATAAAACTTATTGACTGTTTACAATTAACATATGTTCTTCTTCTCAAATTTAATTTCTTACAACAGCTGGATTTTCATAAACATTTTTGTTTCCCATGCTAATCTTATGGAGAAATACGAAACTTTAAAGGGCCCCGGGGCCTCACTCTCTAATTATTTCCCTAAAAAGAAAGTTTCCTGCACAACTTCACGTTAAGCTCTTTCCAATGACACCAAAAACATGTCAATCGGTTCAGTAGTTTCGGAGGAGTAATTGTCACAAAAAACCTGCTTGCGTATTAAATAAGTATAGATTAAATTAGCCTATACTATAATTTTAAATCTACATATTGTGTCACTTTATGCTTTTAAGTAAAATCATTTATTTAGAAATGATGTTTCCAAAGTTCAAATCAATCACTTAACATGCCAATTCTTATACTTTAACTGGCAATGCTTAATACAATTCGTCCCAAGTTTAAGTTAATTTAATAAAAGTTTTAAATAGTCAGTAATAAATAATTTTAATTGACATATTGAATAAAAAAAGTTAACCTAAAATATAAGTAGTCTAGTACCACTTCATCTATGCTAGGGTCCTAAGTAATAACACTGGTTAAACTCATATAAAAGAAGAAAAATAGTTTAATTGAAGTCATAAATTAAGTAAATGAGCTGAACATGTCGTAGTATGTGTTTTCATGAAGAAATGCATAAAAGGTAAGGAAAATCGTAAAAAAATATTTATTTTAAACTAATAAAATTTAACTTACTATCAACATTTGCACTAATTACAGTGTATGTGCCTAGCAAATTCACTAGTCTCATATTAGTGATAGATAAGTGAATGTGCACTAGTTTCGTACTAAACTAGTGAGTATTTGACTCGTGTGTGGTTCGGTCTAAAAGGGGAAAATAAGAAAATGGGTAAGCAATGCAGACATGAACTGGAATATTCCAGTCTCACAAACCTCGAGGACTCCTCGCCCTGCTCCTTTTTCCTCACTGAGGATCTAAAAACCAAAAGAACTTTAGACAGGTGTATAAATAATCTGAAGATATGTTCGAAATTGAGACAAAAATACTGATTAAAATGATCTGAAGCACACCGAAGACCGACACTGCATATGTCACAGGATGTAATGAGAAAAATTAAATTACATGGGGACTTAGGCAAATAAAAGTTTAAAGTACATGCAAATATTTGAGATTTTATAATATGAATATGCAAATAAATTTAAAGTATAGATTATAAGAAATTAAATACATTTTTTAGTGTTCTATGTAAATTTTTTAAATCTGCTAGACACATTTATATGTCACGCTTAATTTGATCTTTCATCGTTCTTTTGAAATCATAACACATGAAATCAACAAGTCTATAGTCACAGAAACAATACATTGTCATTTACAATAATAAAAAAAAAAAAAAAAAAAAAAAAAAACATAAATGTTACCCTACATTAAAAATGAACCATGGTGAATTTATGTTTATTTAAAATACAGGTTGAACACTATTGGATCGTTGATGGTCTTTTTTATACGTTTTCCACTAAGAAACTTTGGAAATTACTTGATCAAATTGTTACTTCAATTTTTTACAAAGAGTGGAGCTAATTATTATTTTAGTAAATGATTTGGACACTATTAAAATTAGCATTTATGTCATGCTGCATTATTTAAGTCGATAGTTTTAATTGGCACAACATTTATTAAAGAATTATTATTTAAACGAATATTTGAAATTATCTAATTTATTACTATGCCAATAAATAGTAAAATCTTTTTCTATGTGTAAAACCATTTTAGCGCGAACTGGTGTTATGATAATAAACATCTCATAATTTTTTTAACATACAGTATATACTTTTTAAAATATTCATTCTGTATAAATGAATGAATGCAGTACTTACGGTGAAGAACAAAAGGTACAATGATGGGAACAGAAAAAAACATTTAAATAAAAACAAAATTACTTTCCCCACAACTTTGTTAAGTAAAATTACTTGAATACAAAATATAATTCAGCTTGATGCAAAACAAGTTTTATGAATCAAAATTGTGTCAACACTAGAAATTTGAGTATTGAATTATTTTGAAAGAAATGAATACATTCATATAAAACATATACTTTGCTTCTTGAATTAAAGACACAAAAGATGTAATAAACTATTTAATTTTAGACAAGATGCAGAGTTATAAAGTTAAGTACAAACTCAAAAAATATATCTTTGTAAAGTTTATTTTTATTTTATCAATTGTAATCTTTGAAGCTGAATCATATGTTATCACTAAATCCTATTTTCGACACGGTTAAAAAATCTTTATAACCATAACAGTTGTTTAAATTGTAAATAGCGTTAATAACCTACAAGATGATCATACAAAATTAAAATGTTACAAAAATGATAGAATCTATTTTAATTAATTCAAAGCTAGATTAACTAAAACTTAAGAAGTAAAAGCATAGAGCATGAAATAGGTTCCCGTGTTGTGTTAGATGTAAAAATATTTTGAAGTGCTGATAAGATAAATTTGCATGTTTAAGTAGTAATAAACTAGATAGTTTGTAATGTCTTAAAAATAAAATTGTTGATAAGAAGCTCCTCCATGCATAATATTAAAGTAAACAATATACATAAACGATGAGTCTATTATTTTCATCGAATACTCTAATATTCACAATATGATCTTGAGTAAACTCTAAACATGTCTAATCTATACTATACCTTAACATAACTATATCACACAGATCACTTATATCTATCCGTATGTTAAACTCTGCACACCTATTCAACACAATAAAGATCAGAGAGAAGACAGGGAAGAAAGAGATGGTTCATTCGACTGTAAACACAAACAAGAACAGAGTGCATTCAGCATTCCATTGAAAGAGACATTGAACAGAATGACAGGATCGTGCAACTGGCAACACTTAACGTACCTGAAGAAGGAGATCCCCCTAACCGGACGAGGAAACGCTTTGGAAATTGGAAAGGATTGGAATTTAAAGTGCTCAATCATCTTTTTTCTAAAAAAGGTGTCAGGGTTGGTTTTACTAATAAGGAATTCTCCGTGCTGTGCTTACTATTCCTCGGGACCTAGATTGCATAGCCAAGAAGGTGTGTTAACCTGACGGCCCAGACGGGGGTCTTGAGTTTTCGCTGGGTGATGTTGATTGTCGTCTCTCCTTCAGAACGGTCGGTGGCAGCTTTCGAGTCAGTTCGCCTGTGCCATATCATCATTACACTAACAGCCGGACAAACACTAGCTAGACACATTTAGTACATATGGCCCTTCGATGATGGATATCCGTATGGGCAATTGGGGTGCGCCATGCACAAACCTAACGCCTGGAGACCTAACAAAGAAGATGCAAGAGAATGTATCATTAGTGAATCGCCTAGAACATTGGATGTTATTTGAAACATATTATGAGATATATACAATTTGAGTTCGAATATGCCTAATTCCCGTAAAACTGATGGAGTAATTAGTTTCAAACACATTTGTAGAACAATTTCATTAGTACATCGATTAAATTTGATTTTAAAACGTTTTGGAACTTCAATAGCAAAATGTAGAAGCAAATCTAGTGAAGCTGTTGAAATAAATTAACCATTCTTACAAAAGTAGTCTAGTTTACTAGATGCTACCATAAAAATATATTTTTATAAACGCATTTTAATTGTCAATTTAAAAACGTATATTCTTTTAAGCTTTTTGACATAAATACAATCAATTCTCATAAAAATAACTGAAATAATTAAACAATACAATTTGAGAACAAACAATCATCTACCATAATTAACTTACAGACCACGTGTACACAAAAATTCAGTTATCCAGCGACCAACATTTCTAAAACATCGATGTGATAGTTTGGTGCTGATAGTCAGAAAAACGACCATTCTTAGGTTAATAACTAAACATATAACACGCAAACAGTCTAACTTACTTAGTTTCATCGATGAAGACCGCCTCCAGGACTCTGGCTGCGTACTGCAAATTCTTTTGCAATACGTCAGCCGAGATCTCTCCCCGTTCTAACTGTTTTAGTAAACAACGCAACCTGAAAAAAGAATGGTTGTTGTAATAATCAATGATTATAATTGTCAAGGCATCTATTTATAAAAAAAACATTATTTTGGGTTAAAGAAATAATCCAGCATTCCAAAGACTGATTGTCACTTCTGAAACACCTTCAAAGTTTGATTTGCCTACTATTGTTTCGGCTATGATAAAAATATTGTTTAAATATTCTAACGCATAGTAAATTCTCAGTACAATGCAACTAAGTAGGTAACTTGTAATAATTCCTAATAAATCTAGCATACCAGGTTATAAAAGGTATGGGTACCAGGTGTCTTGAGAATGTACATAAATAAAAGTACTGTAAATAAAAGAGAAATGTGACAGCTGGCACTGAACCTGTTAAATCAATGAGAATAGGCATTTTGTAAAGTAATAATTGTTGTAGTAGTATGCATTCATAAGTAAAGTAAAAGTGTCAAAACCACTTAATGAAATAGTAACAGACTATTTATGCTATGTAAACCCATTGAAAATGTTTTGACATATGTAAAATAGCAATAGAGTACTTTTATAAAATTCGTGTTGTTTGATAGGAAATGTTAAATGTTATTGAAAAGTGTTCATGACACCTTTAAACAAAAAACCAGTTATTTTTTGTAATTTCAGTTATGAAAACTAAAATGACCACCATTCTGAAAAAAGTAAGAGTATTTTAATCAAAAAGCTTTTTAAACTGAGTATTTAACATTCCATAAATGTACCTTTAATAGTTTATAAGATAATTAAGAAAAGAAACCCGGTTATCCCACTAAAGAGTAGTTTTAGAAAAATACTTTAATTTTAATTTTAGTTATTTTCACCCATCACACCTTTTCCTGATATTTTGTTACTTGTGTGACACCCTGTATTGTTGTATTGTTATCTATTTACACTCACCTAGCCGCGGCTTTGTCACAAGCGTCGGGTGTGTCTATCGCCGGAAGGTTGTCTGTGGTCAAATCATCACTATCAACACTTTCTTCTTCACTGGTTGTTCGTTGCTGTTTTTTGGCACTACTTCGTCTAACGATTGTGAGGGAGCCTTGTTCTGGAACAAAAGAAACAAATTTGAGGTTAGTTTGATCATGTAACAGTGGTCCAGATGATTATTTATAAGATGTTAGTCCATAGTCCATACATAATTAAAACTCACTAGAACAGTAAGATACAGTTTTATACAGAGATAATCGAGCTATCTACGTTAACTATGTATTATCTTTTGTCGATATTCATTAAAAGCTTTGCCCCATGTACATCTTTCTAGTTTTAACTTAACAACGATTACTCATTCTTCTGGCTTTACCCTGAACTGGCAAGACAAAAATGTACATATTTTTAACCCTCGCTCATTTTCTGTTCTTGGCTTCTTCTCGACCGTAAAACTTGACCTCGGGTCAAAAAGAGTCACTTTAGGCCCTAGTGATGAAATGTACTATTAAAGGTCTTAGTTTTTTTATTAAATCTGAAAAAAACTTTAAGAAATATACAATTAGGGACATAATTTTTTCAGTTGGCAATACTTACTGGAGAGTTGTCCGTTTCTATTGATGGACGGCATCTCGCCAGTCGGGGAAGGGGCGTCCTCCTTGGTAGGGGGTCGTTCTGGAGGACTGGCCACTGAAACAACATCAAGTACATAAGTGCGACAGAAAAATAGTAAACGAGGGATAAATCTGAGACGGAGGAGCGGTAGGAGAAACCTAAAAGAGAAATTATGGGAACCCAAAATATGTTGGGAGGAACCCGTGGGCATAACGCGAATCTTGAGGCAGGTAGGAAGAAACTAGTTTGACACTAGGGGGAGTAATTGAGAAAATAAGGCGAAAGAGGAACAAAATGAAAATGATACAAAACAAAGAAGAATCAGAAAGGAGCCAAAGGAATATAAGGGGATCTAACAAAAGCTGTGCTTGTAAAATGGAAAAGTGGTAGGAAAATTACATATAAGTTTTAATTAGTTTATCCGGTGGTAAAAATCTTCATCTTCTTTAAACAAAATAAGATAACAATGTTTAAGCGACAACAGGAAATATAACCGTGGATCTCGGTGGCACGTACCAGCTTATCGTGGAGTTTTCAGTCTTGAATATTAATGTTACTGCTGAGACTGATAATCGTACGAATTTCGCTTACTTCATAACAAATTTATTAAATACAAACTTACCCAGGGGAATAATAAAGCTAGACAAAATACCCGGTGTTTGAGTTCGGGTCATAACCTTGGGGTGCTTACAGCCTATATGTATGATCACATTCTCTTCAATTGAAAAGTGTACTTTGCTTTCTCCCTAAGAATAATAAGTTTGATGTGGGGGACGGTTTGGCAAACATTCAGAAAAACTCATTTTATTGCGCTTGATAAATCGCATTTAATCAATTAATTATAGCATTGTAAATTGTAACCAATGTAAAACGATTTGTAGACCTGATGTAAGCAATCAACAACTCAACTCGTGATAAACATAACAATGTTTTTGCATTTTTACAGATTTTATACATCCTTTTCCTCCTTATAATTTCAACGACTTACTTCCAATATAACAACAGTTTTCTAGTTTGAGTGAAACTTTTGTGATTCCTTAAATATTAAGGTAAGTATGAGCACCTATTAAATGTAGTAGAGAAATGTTAAAATTTAAAAACATGGCTTTGAAAGTAAAACATACTTGAAGTACAACTACAGTCTATAATCTTGAAACTCTACAAATTATTTCCTGTCATTTTTGCAAAAACTTCTTCACCTGAGCCCTTCAATTGTTATTGCAGTAAATTAATGGCATTTTCGGTTGGTAACAAAAAAAGCTGTATCTGTTTTCCAAGACTTTCCCAATCCTCCGTGGACCGTAAAAAGTGTTCAGTCTCTGACAACGTTGGAAATGAACCGATGGTTCCACTGGGATTTGTGAACACGTTCATGGCTTCCTAACATGTGAAAATCGAAGTTACAGTCTTAATAGAAGATTTTCCGTTTATCTTAGAAAACTCATAGGCATCCTATAATAGTTGTTGAAAATTTAATGTAAATATACCTTTATATTATATTTTATTTTTCTATACTGGTAAACGTTTTGAATTTTACTGTTAAAGTGCAGCAGATAAACTAGTTGAAACGAGTGCATATATATGCTTGACAAAGTCAAAGTTAGCAAGTGATTCAAACTATAGAACGGGTAACTGGATTCGTATAATTATTCATTCAAACAAACTCCTACTTAGTTTGTATTCTTGTTCTACTTAGTTTTGAATTTACTTAGTTACTCAGTTAAGCTTACCCCTTATCACGACTTTATAATGTATTCAGTCAGTTTCCACTTGTACGAGTCTTTATTACGATGAATACTAATAGTGTTATTGATAAACGCAAACCTAACGAGATCAAAAATAGGTTGGGTTGATGGTATGTTTTTTTTGTCTAGGTTAAACATTTTTATTTTATTTGCATGATGAATGAATCTAAGTATACACAGTAGGTGATCAAGTTAATATCTCATTAATTCAACTTTGAACATTGATTTCCGAATCATGCTTTGTTTTTATACAATAATAGAACAATTATATAAATTGATTTTACTCCAAGCAACGTTGTACTAAAATTCTACAATTTAAAGCTGTTGAAGAATTTTTTTATGAAAGCAGACGAATGTTTATATTTATCTAGATGGATACATACCCATTTGGTGTAGTAAAAACTAGATTGCATATCGTATTACTATTCATGCTAGGATCCAAACTACAGTTGTCAAACGTTTGTAATACATTTTCAAACAACTTTTCAGTTTGGATGATTTCTTTACCATAATGTAATGAAAGTTTAGAGAAAATTTCAACAACAGAACTTCTTTCACAAAAATGTAATGAGATTTACTGCTAGCAAAGTATCTGATGAAGAATTATGAATTCATGGAGTTTCATCACTTGATAATTAGTTTGTAAGTTGGCGAGTCACCAATAAAAGCAGTCACTTAGCAAACTTTGTCTATGAATAAATGCGGAGAGAAGAACGGAAGTTATATGTTGGTGCGTTTCATAAAATGCTTCGATAAAGAATTATTTAGGTGGCTGTATTGTATTATAGATTGAATAGTTGTATTATAGCCCCTTATAGTTTGAGCTCGAATTTAGAGAATGATAGACAAAGTCCTTATGCAAATAAGTTTGTATATTTAGGTACATTTAGGAATAGAATGAAAATATAAAACCCACAGCTAGTAAAGAGGACCACGATATAATATTAGACAAATTTTTACAATTCTAACACCGTCCACCAAAAGGGTTGTAAACATTAAAACCCACATTTTTATTACTGTATTTTATTGATTATTATTTTAAATCTGATTCATTTCTGAAGGTTATAAAATAAAAGTTGTAAAGTTAAAAGTTAAAAGTTGTTGTTAGTTAAGAACTTTGTGATATGAATCAATACTTGACAGTAGCATGAGACAACAATTTGTAAAGAAAACTGACCTAAGCTGGCTAAAACCCCAAAATTATCCCAAATGGACCATAATCAGAATCAGTATCAGAACATACATATATGCATAATAGGTTGAAAACTGCACCAAGAACTAAGTACAGTAATCTATTACAAGAATATTCAATAACCTGAATATAAGCTACTTTTCAAAAACATACATATTGTTGCTAAAGTAATTATTTAAATATTTTTTGTTTGACCAAATATCGAGAATTACATTCTACTATAAACTGTTAAATACCCTATTATCCTTGAGTAATATAATGTTTTAAAGTAATATAAACGTTTGAGTGAGTAGAAGATCTCTCGTACAAGTTGACTGATGGTAGAGGCAGCAGCTCATGAATATATCAATTTGTGATTCTCTCATAACTGCCAAATACATGGAGACAACTGTTACTGTATTCGATTCCTGTTACAACTGTACATTTATTTTTACAAAAAAGTAACTCGCTTAAAAAGCACATTTTTTTAAATATATTGTGTAGGTTTTAACAGTAATTATAAATATAACATTAAATACATAATAATATTTTGTTTATGTAGTATATATAAACTATTGATAATTTTTATAAATTTGTTATTATGTAATTAAATTTGTTTTTCTTTATATATATTAAAATTGCCTTCATCAACCTCTCGAGACAGTAATTTCTTCCCTGAAATAACCGTGTTAAATTAATACATAACAGAAACAAGGCAAAATAACTGATTAAGAATTACATACATTCGTAGAAAACCCAAATTTAATTTGAGTGGTAATTCAATATCTAAGACAACATTTGAACAGTTTTTTTCAAAATTCTTTTTCATTGCTTAATTTATGTCAAACTGTTGTTACTTTAAAAAGTTTTACTTAAAAAAATATTACTTAAAAAAATTAAGTAATTTCTTAACATAACTCATTGATGGTTCCTGCAAATGAAACATGTTTTTACAAATATATATCTTGGAGATATTGTTTTAAAAGTGACGAACAGTTGCTCCAGGCTTGTTGTTAGACATGTTTTGACAAGAAATCAGAACATTCCTTTGTTGACTTTCAAAGTTACAAGGTAACTAAACAACTTCAACATCCTTAGGTGTTTCTCCGTCTCTTTCACTCTTTAGTTACTGTAACTATACAGGGTGTTCAAAAAAGGTGGGGACATATTTTACCTAGTGATTCCTTGGAACGAAATAAAGAGAAAATTAAGAATACATTTTTTTCCAAAATCACTTCGTTAACCAGATATCTGCCATTTTGTATTTTTTACATAAACATTTTTACCTTTAAAATTTTTCGACCAAATATTTAATTTCAACCAAGTTAGTAAATGTTTGTAGCAAACTTATTGACTGTTTACAATTAACATATTTTCTTCTTCTCACTTTTAATTTCTGACAACAACTGGAGTTTCATTACAATTTTTGTTTCCCGTGTTAATCTTATGGAGAAATACGTAACTTTAAAGGGCCCCAGGGCCTCACTCTCTAATTATTTCCCTAAAAAGAATGTTTCCCGCTTCAAGTTACGCTCTTTTCAATGACACCAAGAACATGTCAATCAGATTAGTAGTTTCGGAGGAGTAATTGTCACACAAAAACTGCTTGCGTATTAAATAAGTAATATAGATATAGATATTGTAATGCTATTGGTATAAAATATAAAGAAGAAAATGACTTAAATTGGATTTTGTGTTTTCACAGTATGTTTTATTTTGTGTTGTAGTTGTATTAGGGAATGTAAGTAAAATATTATAATGTTATTTGTTTCAAATGTAAAGAAGCAACTTTGTGTTTTTATAGTATGTTTCATTATGATCGTTTTCACCCCTATCAACTATATATAAAATATATCACGGATTTTGAACTCAATAAGGTTGGAAAAGGCTGCTAGTTTTCCATAAATAAATTAAATTCATCTCTTCAGATTAAATGTCATGTACCTCCTCCTTTCATTATTAGGTGACAATCCAAGTCCTTCTACCGTAAAAAAATTGATCTTTCTTTTTATAAAACTCAATCTTATAATTTTAACTCTTCTCATACCAAGAAAATGCTTCTTAACTCGGATGACTTTCTACTTGAAGGGTTCTATGGACAGTTTCTCATTAGCAAAGTCCTACCGTTCCCATGGTAACGTCCTAGGTTGTAATTAAAT